GCTGGGCATTCCCGGTTCCCCTTCCCGGTCTGGCATTCCCGGTTCGGATTCCCGGCGCTCCCAGGCGGCTCCGCGCCGGCCGAGCCCCGAAGCCGCCGAACAGGCTCTGCCAGCCGGGAACCGGCTGCGACAGCTCCGCGGGTGGCACCGCCACCGCCACCGGGGCACACCGGCAGCTCGGGGAGCGCCGCTCCGGTGGGCGCGGCGGGAATTCCGGGATGCAGCTCCGCGCGGGTGCCCCGGCGATTTTGGAACAGCAGCTCCAGGTGGGCGCACCGGGAATTCCGGGGAGAACGCACCGGGAATTCCGGGGCACCGGCTCCGGGGAGGGCGCACCGGGAATTCCGGGGCACGGGCTCCGGGGAGGGCGCACCGGGAATTCCGGGGAGGGCGCACCGGGAATTCCGAGGCACCGGCTCCGGGGAGGGCGCACCGGGAATTCCGGGGAGGGCGCACCGGGAATTCCGGGGTGGGCGCACCGGGAATTCCGGGGCACCGGCTCCGGGGAGGGCGCACCGGGAATTCCGGGGCACCGGCTCCGGGGAGGGCGCACCGGGACTTTGGGGGTGCAGCTCCCGGTGGGCGCTCCGGGAACTTGGGAGCGAGCTCAACACTCGGGCGGGATTTGGGGGTTGGATTTGCCGGGAATTCCGGGATGAAGCAGCGCAGCTCCTCGCCGCGGGGCGCCGGTGGCACCGCGGGGTCCCCGAGCGGGGCCGCGGCGGGGCAGGAAGCGCCGCCGGGGCCGCGGGTGACTTGGCATTTCCTGGCTCTGGGGCTTTTTCGGTGGCTTTGCACAAGCGACAGCGGTGACAAAAAAAAAGGGGGGCCCCCATCCTGAGCACCCCCCGCACCCCGTTCCGGCCCCGCTGCGCCGGCGCCGCTCCCACGGCTGCGGGGCCATGGATGGCCACGGCCACCCGCGGGGACAGGTACCGGCCCTGGGGACCGGGGGACACCCCCGGCCCGGGGGACGCTCGGGGTGGAGCGGGAAGGGCGGGGGAGGCGGATTTTGGGGTGTCCCCCCCCCGCCACCCCCGTCGAGGCGGTGCCTGGCGGAGCGCCGGGATCCCGGAAAAGCGGGGACGGTCACCGTGGGAATGGGGGGACGCCGCGGGATGTGGGGGATTCGGGGTGCTCAGGGATTGGGGTGACCCCCAAGGTGCTGCATCAGGGTGTGGGGGTCCCCAGGGTGCCACAGTGGGGTGCACAGGGACCCCAAATTGGCGCAGTGCAGCGCTCAGGGCTGTGAGTGAGCCCAAAGGGCAGCGCTGGGTGCTCGGGGGCGAGAGGGACCCTAAAGGTGGCACCCTAGGGTGCTCAGGGATGGGGTGACACTAAAGGTGCCACCCTGGGGTGCTCGGGGCTCTGTGTGACCCCAAAGCGCCCCGTTGGGGTGCTCAGAGATGGGGTGACACATGTGGTGCCACCCTGGGGTGCTCGGGGCTCTGTGTGACCCCAAAGCGCCCCGTTGGGGTGCTCAGGGATGGGGTGACACTAACGGTGCCACCCTGGGGTGCTCAGGGATGGGGTGACACATGTGGCGCCACCCTGGGGTGCTCGGGGCTCTGTGTGACCCCAAAGTGGCCCGCTGGGGTGCTCAGGGATGGGGTGACACTAAAGGTGCCACCCTGGGGTGCTCAGGGATGGGGGTGACACTAAAGGTGCCACCCTGGGGTGCTCGGGGCTCTGTGTGACCCCAGAGTGCCCCGTTGGGGTGCTCAGGGATGGGGGTGACACTAAAGGTGCCACCCTGGGGTGCTTGGGGCTCTGTGTGACCCCAAGGTGCAGCCCGGGGGTGCTGAGGGACACGGGGCACCCAAAGGTGCCCTGTTGGGGTGCTCAGGAACTGGGGTGATGCCGAGGTGCCACGTGTGGTGCCCAGGACTGTGGGTGACGCCGAGGTGGCCCACGGGGTGCTCAGGGATGTGGGACACCTGAAGGTGCCACCCTGGGGTGCCCAGGGCTGCGGGTGCCCCCGGGGCGCTGGGTGGGTCCCCTGCTGTCACTTCTGTCCCCGCTGTCACCGCTGTCCCCATTGCACAACCACAGCTGGGCCGGGCAGGGCCCGCTGTGCCCTGATTGGCTGCAGGGACAGGTGCTCTGCGAGCTGATTGGCC